TTAGCTTCCATTTGGCCATGTGGATTGTACTCTCACTGCTTCTTCACTTACATATCCGCGTCTGATGCAAGATAAGCAAAACACACTGCGGCAACACCAAGGCTCGTGTGGAGGGGGAGATCTTATGATAGTTGTGGGCCTATGCGCTTCACAGGAGCTGCTATTGGAGCTTTCTATTAAAAGAAGAGGTAGCTCCCAGGCCGTGTCACCATGTTTAAGTTGCGAAAAAAGGGATAAATATTCTCTTCACCGCTGGTGAGTTTCAAGTTGCCAACGGACCAGAACCACTCGATCCATACTTGCCCAAGGCCATATGACGACGACATTGTGCCCCAGATCCTGATTCCTCAAGCCTCTTTTTGAAAGTTCACGTAGCTGTATCAAGTTGAGCCACCCGACCTTACCTAGGTAACCTTGGAAGTCACGGGAACTTCCTATGACCGCTATTTCCAAAAGCCGCCAGCCTCTTACTGCGAACGGATGGTGGAACAAGTACGGCTTGTCCGAGGCTCAGCCTTGTTCGGTATTCTTCAATGACCTGATTTGCCTTTGGATTTCCAAGGCTTCTTTAGCTTGTCACCCTCAAACAGGCGGTCAACGAGCAATTAGTCCGGCGAACAAAAGATGGAAAAAAAGAAACGACAGAACAAGGCTCTACAGGGCAGGGTTTGCTGTTATTCGTTCGTTGTTGATAACGTTTCTTCCCATTCTCTATGACCAAGGAACAAACATTACATTTTCCCAGGAGGTCCCACGGCAATGTAATTGGTTTGGTTGGACCTTTTATCAGCACTTGGCAAAGAGTTGATTGGTACATCCTCGTCGTTATGAGACGGGAAGTTAGCTTCCAACAGGAAAGATTGAGTTGTCTGCCCACCAAACGGACCCCAATTAGCCGAGGGGATGCAGATGATTACCCATAGCATGATGATCTTTTCCGAAGCCACTGCGCTCCATGTTCGAGTTAACAATGGGCGGCAAAACAGGCCATATGATTGCCGCCAGCTCATCACCGAATGGCCCTAAAGCGTCCTAACTGCGCTACTCGTTAGTTACTTGGTGTGGCGGCCTGTCAAACTTGAAACATCGCATCGCCATCTCATCTGAAAGTCGGCTCTGGGTCGAGGGGAACGGATTTCAGTTGGATCAAGGAAGCCAAGTCCGCGGCGAAGGATTTTTGCTGGCTCCGTCCATGGCCTGACTAAGGATTACCCTGATCCCATGGTCTTCAAAAGCACGAAACCCTTTTTACTTCTCGATTCTTGGGTTGGCCGCTACCTTCCCCAGCAGTCATTGTCATAATAATTCGTTTCGCCGCAATATGTAACAAAGCCCTAAGACAACGCGATCATTGAAATGAGATCTTGAGGTTATATTCTCTCTGATATTTGGTTCGCCTGATGCTACTTCTGTTCTCGTCGACTGCGTAATTTTCCATTCTTTCCATACCAAGAACTGATTACAACACGGTCACCATAATACGCGCTAAAACGATACAGTACCGATACGTTAATCGTTTTTCAGCACAGTACTTTGCGAACGGAATATAAAATACGTCCCTGTAAATTGGTCGCAGGCCCTGTCCTCACAAATCTCGGATAGTTGTAGGGAAACGGGCACAGCTATTAGAATTACTCCATACGCCGTACGCGTGTGTCTTGTAAATCCGGGGCAGAACCAAATCCATAAATCTTGAACTGTGCAAGAAATCAGAACGGCGAAGTAAAGGAATTTTCCCAAATGGCCCTTCGCCTGCCACCAAAAGTGGCCTCCGTGACACGGTAGCATGGAATTTCTAGTATCAATAGCCCGCATTTACGTCTGAGCTATCTGGTTCGCTTTGTTCTCCATTGGAAGCCACAAGGGCATCTTATCTGGTTGACAGGAGTGTTAATCATACAAATAATAATGATATACGCCACCTACGAAGATGAAAAGATCCACACAAGCAAATTACGGCAATCCCTCATTGAAGAGCCTGTATACTGCAGCTCATACGTACAGAGGGGTATGGATGCGTGCAT